TAATAGATCAAATAATGATTAATGGTTTTTGTTAAAAGTAGGTTAAAGAACAACTGCGTTACTATGGCGCAGTACCTCCATATCTAGTTCAGACTTTGGCCACCCAACCCTCACTGAGCTTTCGATCTATGACCCCTGGGGTATAAAAGCACTCCTTTCCATCACCGGGATTGCCAATACCCATCAACCACTGCGACCTATTTTATTTAGCTTCTACTTCCGCTTCGGCTCCCCAGAGCCTCACCACCTTTGTCTGTATCATCTCTTTAACATGCTTTGTATTAACAAATATGTATATAGGAGAAAAACACATAAATACCGGGGCTTTCTTCATCGCCCAGCATCCGATCCAGTTGCAGATGCATAATACGTCCATCAGTCATGCAAAACGTCGCAAAGGTACCATTCTCTGTATGAATGACACTTGCACGACAAGCACATCCGGGTGTTTTCAGTGTATAGCTATCCTGTACTTCCAGGAAAGCCCGGTCTTCGACATATGCCAGAATTGCTCGATCCTGCAAAAGCAAACAAGATGTACGACTTATTGCGCTACTTACTTGTAATACTGTAACTAAACTGTTTAAAAAAAGTAAAGTAAATGAACAGATTTCTTAATTATTTAGAATTTTTTAATTTTAATCCAATAAGAATTTTTTAATAATAATCTAGTAATTTTAATAATCATAATTTTAGTCTAATAATAATAAGGATCTTAATTTAATTAGAATTATCTAAAAAGAAAAACTATTTTTACTTCCCAGTTTTTTGCATGGGTTCAGGGTGGGAGGGGAACCTCCCCCAAGGAATCCGTTCAAGATCCGCATAACTGTTTCTACTTCCTAGTTTTTGCGCAGTTCCACAATGGAAGGGACTCTCCTTTCCACCTACCTTCCCCCGCGGGGATCCATCTTGGATCCGTCTACATTCCCAGAAGTAGCTCGAATTATATCACAACTTCTTTCAACAGTTACGGTCCTTTTTCCTTCCTTTTTAGGGTTTAATTGCCATCAAGCAGGTTCCCCCGTTGCTTTGACCGATGCTGCAGCATCTGCTGGCCATCCTTACGGTCATTTCGTCTTCCTAAGAGATTTTCTTGAAAACTTAAAATTCTCTCGCAACTTAAAATCTTAAATTCTTGATTCGCAATAAATTCGCCAAATCGCAACTAAAAATTCTCGCAATTTTCCCGCAACAAAATCCACCAACTTAAAAATTCTCTTACAAAAAACATTTATCACGATTTCAGCCATTTCAAGATACTTCTTGGAAATTATATGCTGCTTATCACCACCTTGTAGCAAACTCTGCTATTCCTGTACAGCAATGCGATATCTTATCGATTATGAAGTGAGTAGAAGCAAAGGATGTGTCACGTGCAAATGCAGCAGCAGAAAACTTACTTGGTTAATTCCTTGCTCCAAAAACTTTGCATCAAAGGCAAAACGATGAAGCATGTTTTGCGTTGGCACAATTAGCACCAATTTTTGGTTCACGTAGAAAAAGCCTGTTCCAGGTATCACATTAACTGAGGCAAAATTGAGGCACAGCGTGTTATTTTTTAGCGAATGCCTCACACTGCGTTCTTCCAGTAAAAGCGATGTTCGAACGGATCGCCTGTAAAATTAAAAAAGTTTTTTTAGATTACGGAAAAATTTATGTACGGGGTTTGCAAACTAAATTCAAACGGAATTGAACTGAAAGAATGAACTGAGTAAATAGGAAATGGCTATTGAAGAAGTGAAAGGAAGTTCAAAAAAAAAACTGGGAAAAACCAGGAAACTCA